TGTCTCTAAGACTAGGGACTATGGCAAAAGAGACGAGGCTCTGTCTCAAAAAAAAAAAAAAAAAAATTGTGACAGATGTCCAAAACTCAAGTTTTAGCTCCAAGAGGGAAAAAGGTCAGAATAATAGTTAAATAAGAAGATAATTCTAAAAGGACAATGCCATTAAGAACTTTAAGAAAGGAATTGAGGACAGCGCCTGTGGCTCAGTGGGTAGGGTATTGGCCCCATATACCGAGGGTGGCGGGTTCGAATCTGGCCCCAGCCAAACTGTAACAACAACAACAAAAAAATAGCCAGGCATTGTGGTAGGTGCCTATAGTCCCAGCTACTCAGGAGGCTGAGGCAAGAGAATTGCCTAAGCCCAGGAGTTGGAGGTTGCTGTGAGCTTTGATGCCACAGGACTCTACCAAAGGCAATAAAGTGAGACTCTGTCTCTTAAAAAAAAAGAGGAATTGAAATAGTCCTTTTTTTCTATAAAAAATGTTGTCACAGAAGAATGCACTATGTGCTAGACGCTGCTGTCAAGAAAATTAAAATCAAGTTCTGATGACACAGACCCCTGAAGCAACAGCAGCCTTAAGGGCTTGACCGAGTGGTACAGACCATAAAGGGAAAAAGCAGACCTTGCAGGAGAGCCAGGGGAGAAGCAGAGGACAGGACAGTCCAGGCTGGAGCAGGAGAGCAGGTGCTATAGCTTAGGGAGGCAAGAGTGACCAGGGTGGTCCCTGATATTCCAGGAGACGAAAACACGTGAACATCACATAATAACACCTGGATCTGCATTGATGGATTTCTGGTCACCTTCTGTAAAGTGAAACAAATATCTAAGGACACAATAGAAAGAGCTCATATAGCTAAACACTGAAACAGTCTGGGCAGACATCAGGCAATATGAAATTCAAACTATCAGACAGGACCACTTTCTGTCTGGGTCAGGATATAAGAGACGGGTAAGGGTGCTAACTTTCACTGGGACTGTGTTTTTACGGCTACAGGGAACCAATCAGTCTAACTTACAAGTAAATCATGGACAATCAATCACTGATCTGTACAATGAGAATTGCAGCCAATTTTCAGAGTTGTCAAGTACATGCACAGATGAGATACATACAAATATATACACATAGCCGAACACCCAGGATCCTGACTGACATGGTGACTGGGGGTAGCAAGGCCATACTAATGAGATGCGATGACCCCTTCCCCTCCAGACAGCTTAGCTCAATCGCGGTCACCCAAATAGAGTCAACTTTCATGCCACCAACCTCAACTCATGCCACTAATCCACCTGGAATGCTATCCACCCACATGTTCACCTAGACAAATCCTACCCATCCTTTAGGACTCAGTTCAGCTCCTCCTCTTCTCCTTTATAAGATGTTTCTGAGTCACCCTAAAGCATCTCTCTCTTATGAATTTCCAGAACAATTTGTACAAGTGCTTGGCAAATAATCGTGTCAGCTCTATTAGGTATCTCTTCTATTGTTTTCTTGAACTATTCTTTAAATCAATAGAAATTTTCATCTTTCTCCCTGTCTCCATTGACACATCACCTCTTTGAGAGGTAAGGGGCCCATCTTATACTTCTTTGTATCCTTCCACTTCATTTTCTAGAGTGCCCTGCACAAAGTAGAATTAAACTGCAGCCTTTCTCTTGTGCACACATAGAAGTTGTTAGGCTCACCTTAATAACCTATCTTGAGATTCATACTTAGAGACTTAACAACTATTAAAAAAAAAAATCATTCTAAGTGCTCTCTTCTGGCCCCCCCCACCAGGTTCACTTTCTTTTCCTTGAGAAAGGGTCTTGCTCTGTTGTCCAGCTAAAGTGCAGTGGCTTCATCAGAGCTCACTGCAATCTTGAGCTCCTGGACTCAAGAGATCCAGAACAGCCTCCAAGTAGCTGGGCACACAAGTGTGTACCACCATGCCATCTATTTTTGTAGAGATAGGGTCTTGCTCTTGCTCAGGCTGGCCTCAAACTCCTGACCTCAAGCAATTCTCCCACCTTAGCCTCCCAAAGTGCTAGGATTATAAATGTGAGTCATTGCACCTGGCCCCAATTTACTTTTTAAAAAGCCGTGTGAGTTTTAATTCTACTGCAGAGTAGAAGTCCTACAAACTAATATAACCCAGTGAGACTCTGAGCCTTCAATTTCAAATTCTAAAAACTCTGCAAAAGATCTCGCTAATGTCATGTATTCACTGGAGGTAAAAGATGGAGGTTAAAATGAATGACTCCATATTCAACTATTACTATAGTGTCTTGTATGCAGAAAGTACTTAATAAATGTACTTAACGTCTGCAAAACTGAAGTGATCATAAGCTGCGACTAAATTACGAAGGCATAGCTCAAAGCATACTTCTTTCTTGAGGGGTAAGGAAGGTAATCTCTTAATTTAAAACTACCTTAGTCTATGAAATTGCTGTATAACTTATCCCTTTATTTGTCTTACGTGCAGGTGGGAAAACTTAAACAGTATTGCTAATATGTGTCTGCCAGGAACTAATCTTTGAAGTTATGCATATTAGTTCATTTAATGCTCAGGGCAACCCCAATTCTGCAGATAAGAAGTCTGAGAGAGAGAGAGGTTAAGCAACATGGCCAAGGACCACAGCAAGAAAGTGGTGGAACTAGAATTTGTATCTCAACAATCTGACTCTTAACCACCATGGTAGTGGATAAAGATTACAGAGATACAGATGTAGAGGTATGCCATTCTGACTAATATTTAAAGTCATTTCTATAAAAGTCAGGCATCCAAACTTTGATCAGGGATGCAATATCCTGGCCTGGCAGCTCACACTTTGGGAGGCTAAGGTGGGAGGATCATTGGAGGCCAGGTGTTTGAGATCAGCTTGCGCAACAGAAAGACGCTATCTCTATAAAAAATTAAAAAATTAGCTGGGTGTGGTAGCACATGCCTGTAGTCCTAGCTGTTTGAGAGGCTGAGGCAAAAGGATCACTTGAGCTCAGGAGTTTAAATTTACAGTGAGCTATGATGATGCTACTGCATGCTAGCTAGCCTGGGGAACAGAGCAAGACCCTGTCTCAAAAAAAAAAAAGTTATGTCCAATCATAATGCTGTATATGTAATAAATCTAATTATATTACTTAACTTCACAGCACTAAATAGAGAAAAAATACTGTGCAACTTTGAGGCTGCCTCACTTGGAAAATTTAGAATCACTGAAAGAGTCTCATCATTTTATAAATTAGGAAATTCAGGCACACTGACCAGCACACGGCCAGTCTGTGGTAGGTAAATGAAGAACTGTGCTCCTGCTCCATGATCTGGGACAAAATTAAGCCTGCCCAAGAGCAGAGAAGATTATGTGGTTTGCAATTTCCCAAAGATTAAACCAGTTTTGTTTTGGTTTTTTGAGATAAAGTCTCACTTTGTTGCCCTCTGTAGAGTGCCATGGTGTCACAGCTCACAGCAACCTCAAACTCTTGGGCTTAAGTGATTCTCTTGCCTCAGCCTCCCAAGTAGCTGGGACTATAGGTGCCTGTCACAACACCCAACTATTTTTAGAGATGGGGTCTCTTCCTGGTTCAGGCTGGTATCGAACCTGTGAGCTCAGGCAATCCACCCACCTCAGTCTCCCAGAGTGCTAGGATTACAGGTGTGAGCCACTGCACCAGGCCTTAAAACAGTTTTATATAAGGGTTAATGGGTAATTAAAACTGAGAAGAAGGGAAGATTTTGATCTTCACTTTCTAAGCTTAAGGAGTGATGTGTAGCCATAAACCTACAAGAAATGGGGCCAAAGCTTCCAGGAAAACACTTACATTCCCCCATACAACTCAGCTACTGACGTTTTTAAACTCCACTTACTGTAATGTTTAAGTCAAACTACTTTAAAACTACTTTTACATATTATTATACCAAGAAAGCCAGGTGTGGTGCTTCATGCCTGTAATCCTAGCATTTTGGGAAGATTTGGTGGAAGGATTACTTGAAGCCAGGGGTTCGAGACCCCATCTCTACAAAAAAACGTTAAAAACTAGCCGGGTGTGGCAGCTCATGCCTGTAGTCTCAGCTACTCAGGAGACTGAGGGAAGAGGACTGGTTGTAGTGAGCTATGACCATGCTTTTTGGGTACCTCTTAAAAAAAAAAAAAAGTGAAGTAATCACATGTAGGGGATTTTCTAAAACAAATTCATCTTGGAAGCCCATTTCGGGACGTTGAGTTCTGACTACATTCTCAAGGATGTCAGTTAACACAAGGGCTCCATCCATAACTCTTTGAAAAGTCTAAAACCATGAACGCCTTGTCAAATTCAGACAGTTTATCTTGGCACTGGCAAGTACAGCAGTCTCTTCGAAGTCTGGAAACGTGTCTAATTACGTTTAGAGAGGAACTAAAAAATAGCCCGTGTCCCGGAACAGACATCTCAGGATCACTCCATAGCATCCCGATAGAGCCAGGCACCGGGGGAGGAGGGGAGAGGAGGAGGAGGGAGTGAAGACGAATAAGAAAGGAAAAAAAAGCAAATGTGAAACTGGGAGGAGGCGCCAACCTCTCTCCAAAACCACCCTCTACTCTTCCTAGGGTCTTCGGGGCCCACCACAACTCTCTCTGAAGTTTTTATTTGCCTTTACTTTTGTTTCCATGAGGTCACCTGGCCCGCCCACATCGCTTACCTGGCGCAGGGCAGGCTGGTGCACTATTCCCAGCACTCTGTCCAGCTCGCGTACCCCTTACACCTCTAAGAGGCACAGCACCCAGGGACACCCCAGCTCAGAAAGTGCGCCCCTCCCAGCTCCGCACTCCTTTTACACCCAAACTGGCCGCACCCCGGCAGCGTCTTCTCTCGGGAAAGCGCCACCACCGAGTTCAGCGGGACCCCCTGACACCGCCCTCTGGCCGCACTCCATCCCTGGAGCCCGGTGCGCCTCTGACACCCCCAAGCTGGCCGCCCGCTGAGGCGCCCCCTCTCGGGAAAGCGCCGCCTCACGCCCCTGCGCACGGCTGCCCAGCCCTCACCTGAGTTTGAGGTTGGCCATGAACTCGGGCATGGAGACTGTGTCCATCAGCACGAAGTCCGCCTTGCCGAACTCCAGGCTCTCCTGCTCCGCCATGGCGCCGGCACAGGGGCTCAGGTGGGCGCGTTCGGGCCGCGGGGCCGGGCCGGG